TGTGAATGTATGTGTGTGTGTGTGTGTGTGTGTGTGTGTGTGTGTGTGTGTGTGTGTGTGTGTGTGTGTGTGTGTGTGTGTGTGTGTGTGTGTGTGTGTGTGCGTGTGTGTGTGTGTGTGTGTGTGTATGTGTGTGTGTGTGTGTGTGTGTGTGTGTGTGTGTGTGTGTGTGTGTCCAAAAGACAAGAAGACAGAAAGACAGGCTGAAAAAAGAAAAACAGACAAGAAATACATACAAAAATGAAAGTAATCTTCTAAAAGGCCACTGTAACTGGAAATCTTTATGGTGTTTGCATTAAAAGCGCCTCTAATACTTTTATTGTCTGAGTGCATGACATGAAATCTTTATCATTAGTTCCAGCAAGTTCACATTTCACACTTCATTGTTAGATTTTCATCACGTAAAGTCTCATGGTCGGTTTTCTATATGCTTCTACAAACAAAAACACAAAGACAAAGACAAATCAAGAACAAGAACAACACATATTAGCAAAAAAAAAACGTGTCTTTGTTGTAAAAAAGAAGTGCTTGGACTACAGATCACCTTAAACTCTATTAGTTATAGCACTTAGCATGTTCAGTGTTTCTTGAAATGTTAGTAAAAAAGATCAAAACAAAAGAATCTTGGAAAGTCACTGCACTAGGGACAGGTGCAGTGTGTAGATGGACAAAAATGTTCATTATTGAGGCAGTTGTAGTCACACCAGACTGCCATACCAGGGATATACTGCCACATGCCCACACCGGCACACCTACCTGAACGTCTGTTGGGGAAGATTTAGTTAGACACTGTTGCCTTACTTTCATTCAGGTGGTTTCTTAAATGCATAAGAGGGTATGATATTAAGATTCAGCATTCATTTAGCTAGATACATGTTTATACTTACATGTCTTCTTCCTTAGTAATTACTTTTATATAAGAAAAAAATATATATATAAAATGATTTTATTTTGTTATCAAAGAACATGACAAGCCTTACATTTATGAAAATAATTCTTCATATCTTCATATAACCATCATTAAAAATCCTAATGAACCATTACCATAATAATCATCATGAATTCATTTCATTCATCGTAACACACCATCATCACCTCTTACCTCGTGTCTGAACCTGGCTTTGGAGTCGGCATGGAGAAGGAGGTCGTTGCGAAGGGAGTCGTCAACAAGGGGGTGGTACTACCTCCAGAAGCAGTCGACGAGGAGGGGGTCGTACTTGAGGGGGTGTAGCCTGTAGAGGAGGTCGTCGGAGAGGAAGTCGAACTCAAGCTGGTTCTTCCTTCCCTCCACAGTTCGGCTTTGAGGACGGGGTAGGAGGCGCATGGACGCGGCCGGTTGCTGTTGGGGAGAGGGAGGTGGTGAGGAGAGGGGGCAATGAGGGAAGGAGAGAGATGGAGGGCAAGGGGGGCAGAGAAACAAAGAGAGAGGGGTAGAGTGAGAAAGGGGGTAGGAGAAGAGAAAGAGGGAGAGGGATATACAAAACTAGGAAAGGGAAAGGGAAAAAAGGGAGTGAAAAGGAGAGAGAAACAGATATATATATATAGATTGATAGTTAGATTGATTGACTGAGAGAGAGGGGGGGATTATAAAATGTTCCTTTAATTTTTATTTTTCATTTCTTTTTGTAATGGTAAAATTCAGGTTGATGTGAGGTTAGAGAAGATTTAATGTGTGTAGGACTGTATAAGTGCGAGTGTGTCTGTGTGGACACAAGCATAAATATTGTAACAAAACATATTTTAGGAATATTGAATTTTCTAAGAACTTACCTAGGGGCGTTGGCAGAGAAGAAGGAGTTTGGCTGCAAGTGTTCGAGAATTGTATTTTGGCAGATGACTGAAGACAGGGTGATCTCCCTTAAGGAATCTAGTTGATCTGTCGAAATATAATGTAATGGAGGAATTAAAAAATAAATTCTATGGAAATTCTTTCTGTTGAGAATAACGACTGGAAGCATTGTAAAGTAATTCTATTGAAGCATAAAGATATATTACTTGTGTTAAAAATTTCATAACAAAGAAATTGTCGACTTAATATTAAGCACATAATAAATATACCTCAGACATGACAGTTTTTTTGTTTTGTTTTTTAACTTTACTTATAGTATATGGTTGGGGTTGACTTTGGTTCTCGTAATAAAATCAAAAGGCAAATAAATAGCCAAATAAATAGATAGATAAATGAGTAACCTAAATGAAAATAATGCAATGTATACATAAAAAACATGATTACCTTCTTAAAAAGGTTTGGGTTAATTTCGGTAAAAGCTATAGAAAAGCGAATAAATAAATGAATAAACAGATTCACAAATTAAGTGAAACTAATGCAATCTTTATTTATAAACATATGCATAGGCCTACCTTCAGTAAAAGGTTTGGGTTGATTTCGGTTCTCGTACCAGAATCGGTCTCCTCGCTTGAGTCTGGCGAACTGGTGGGCGATGATGCAAGTGAAGGTAGAGCCGAGTAGGCCGTCGGATACAGGCTTTTCTCCTAAGCCTGCCGGGAACAGGTCGATCTCATCTACGTTCCTATTTTGAAAGAAAACCAAATTGTGAGATGGTTTGCGCTCTTGAGAAGAAAAGATAGGGAGAAGCAATCAGTAGAGCCTTGAGAACAGCCGTAGAAGAAGGAAGAAGAAAACGAAGAAGAGAGAGAGGGGGGGGGGGATGCAGATGGGAAGATGGACTTGAAGCGGAACTGTAGAGAATGAGAACAGAGGAAGTTGCAATGGATAAGAAAAATGGAGAAGAAGGAGGAGGAGAAGAAAAAGGGAAAAGTAGAAGACGAAAAGTAAAACACAAACACACAACACAGACTAATAAACACAGACAAGAAACCAGAAACAGAATTAGCAACTGAAGACCAAGAACTGAAACTAACCAGGAAAAAAGAGGCAGATAGGTAAAAAAGGTACTTACGGGTAAAGTTTCTCAAAGCCCTCGACCACAGAGGGGGACATCAGCGGAACCAGATCGGCGAATGAGCTGACAGGAGGAAGTCCACAGGCCTCTCTCCATTCCGTGTAAGGAGGGAGTCCGTGGTCACGCCCTCGCTGTGGGATTGTATAGGAAGTTAGATGGAAAGACAGCATCTATTTGTAATTGTGGCAAGGACAGTGTTTGGTGTTCTATTTCACTGGGATTGTTGAAATAAATAGTGAATAAATAAATTAAAACTATGGATTCATTTGAAAGGTGAAGGTGATGATAATTTTGAAAAAAGAGAGAAAAGCAAATGGAAAAGCATTTCATCACTTGTATATTAAGTGCCATCAAGTCCATCCCAACAGGATCGTTGTGGCCCTTAAAGAGGTTATTTGTGAGCGAAGGAACAAGGTAGGCGTCGGCTGGTTGGGCGTTCATGGTGGCCAGGCCTTCCAGCAGCGCCGACGGCCTCGACTCCCCCCGGAAGAGAGGCTCGGGATTAAAGAAGTTGCCGACGAGGGGCACAGCCGACCCTTCGCCTTGCAACATGTCGTCGACGAGTGTGTGGCCAAACCTGATGTCGCGGAAACACGCAGAGAAAATACTTTTCTACTTTTTTTTCGTTTGTTTTCGTTTGTCGATCATAATCATGTTATCCTTAGACAATATCATTCATGTATACCTTCTAGAGCATACTAGCAAACTCTCTTTCGAAACGAAACGCACCTGTAAGCAGCTGTTCCGAAGACATTTAAAACAGAAGCATCTTGAGAAGCGTTGTAGGTGTCACTGAGCCCTGAGGTTAAAGGGTAAAGGTCGAACTTCTTCATCATTGTGTTCCCTAAGACGATGGGAAGGAAATCTCGGTACGTGATTTGCTGGATGAGGGCACCAACGATACGCCTTGCTTCCTGGAATTTGTGATAGAACAATCAATTTTTTGATTTTCATATCAGATGGACTGCTAATCCTTTAAAGAGCAAGAACAATCAAGATTTTTTTTCCTTTATTCCTTTATGCAATCGACTTGGTAAGGCAAAGGCTTAGTAAAGGTGAAGTCTTTTATCTCTGTATTTAATGATTTTACTCTATTTACCCATTTTCAAAGTTTAGTTAACTTATCTAAAAGAGAATAAAGGCTTTGTAAGCACAGGTTCTTTAAATTCTTATTTTTGCAATTTTACTATATCTATCTATTTTGCACATTTACTCGATATAGCTGGAAAGAATGCAGAGACTATGATAGTGAATCGATGTTTAACAGAAGGATACCTCATAGAGAGTGTCGTCATTCCAGTGGGGGTTGACCAAAGACAGCTGTGCCGCCACCGCATTGTGTTCTCGGACCCAGAGTGTGTGCATGGAGGCAAGGGCAGGTTGTTCGTTCGAGCGCAGATCTCCTGAAAGAACATTGGAGTTTGGGTATTCTGATGACACTCAATTTGCTATTTAAAACACGAGCGAATGTACGTGAATATAGTATATGAAACAAAACGCTGGTCACAAGTAGAACATGTTTTGATAAAACTGACTCATTCGAAAGAAATTTAGTCACCACGTTTCCCTTACGACACCAAACGAAAGAACCAACCTGCCTTGAAACAATGCCCTCCTGAGGCTCCGCCCTCTCCTCCCTCGCACTCCACGAAGGGCATGAGATGGCCGCGTCCAGGAGCCGGGCTGTTGGTCCAGTTGAGGCGGCCACTGGAGTGGGCTCGCAGCTCCTCGGCAACAGCGTCCCTGGACCCGTAGACTGCTGAGCCGTCAAGGTAGGCCGTGATCTGGTTGAGCTGCTCTCTAGGCCCTGGGGAGGTAGGCAGAGGGGAATGCGGTTATTGGAAATGCTATTCTTCTGCGGGCACTGCGAGACTGGGACTTTGGGAATAATAGAGTTTTCCTTTATTAATGCTTCAGAAATTATAAGAAAGTAGTAATAATATAAAAGATTCTCCTTGAATATCTGAGTTACACCGTTAGAAATTCGTCCTACACACAGACATTCCTTTACAGCAACGAGAACTGACCAAGAACGCAGCCTTGGTTGGCTATGAGCGACCGGACAAACTTCATGCA